AAAAAAAAAAAAAAAAAAAAAAAACTACATTTATAAAGGGACATAGAGTTTTAAAAAACTGCCTTTGAAATGTTTTCATGATCCTGTGACTAGGAAAAGACAGATGCAGATGTTATGTTTTACAGACGAGGGTTAGTTTAGTGGTATTAAATGACCTGCCCAATGTCAGTCAACTAATAGACCAAAACTAAAAAAAATTTAAAAAGCTGTTTGTATCCTAGGGAACTAGACCTAAAGGAAAGTATGACATTTTTTCTTTCAAGATGGGGTCTCGCTATGTTGCCCAGGATGGACTTGAACTCCTGGGCTCAAGTGATCATCCTGCCTCAGCCTCCTGAGTAGTTAGTACTACAGGCATGCACTACCATGCCCAAGTGAAAGTATGAATTTTAATGTTAACATTATATGATAGGGCATCAGTTATCCCAAACGGCATCTGCAAAATGCCTCTGATATTAACCATGGAACCCTAACATTTTGAGGGTGGAAAATGGAAGAAAAATGCTACTTTCAAGACTGGATTATTCTTAATATAATATATTATACTGTGAATATGTAGAAGAATAGTATATATTTAATTCATTTCTCCAGCCTACAAAGCAGAACACATTATAAATATAATATGGGAAATCCACAAGTAATTTATAAGGTGGAAAGAAAACTAATACTGCAGAGGTTTTCATTTTCTCCTCTCCAGCCAGGGAGAGTTTACATGATTGGTCCAGTGTGTGACAGAATTTTAGAATTATTTTGATGACAAAGCCGTAGAAATTATTATGCCCTTTTAATAATAATATAAATACTTCTGATAGCAGCTAACACTTACTATGTGCTCTGTGAAGGGCATTGTTTAATTGCTTTCCATTTGTTAACTAATTTTATTCTTATAGCAACTTTCTGAGTTTGGTATTATTATTATTTTTCATTTTACAAATGAGAAAAATGAACCACAGGAAAAGTTGTGTAACTTTTCTAAGGTCGCATAACTCGGAAGACCAATTTTCAAATTCAATTTGTCTGAGATAGAATATTAATATATTAAATATAAAATGAATAAACATAGGTTAACACTACAAAATGTGTCATATTATGCCAGCTTCTGCTATAAAATAGTAATGAGTGTTCAAAGCTTAAGAAAAGTTATTTTTAAGCTTAAAATTGAGAAAAATTCCATCTATTGGTATGATTTTTTTCCCCTTTAGTTAGAAAAAGCTATAAATATTTGATTTCTATAGTGTCAGAGCATTGCAGTACAGTGTCAACACCACTTAGTAACAACCTGAGAACGACTGGGCAGAGAAAAAAATCACATGGAATGCTAGACTCTAAAAATAATCTCTGAGAATTGTGTAGTGCTCAGAGAATTATATGACTTTTTGGAAAATACTATTCTTGAGTACAAAACATAGCTTTTACCATCTTTGTTACAGTCATTCACAGATGGTATTAGGTTTATACAAATATTTATGGCTTTTTACCTTTAGATTTACCTTGGTTTCCTGTAATTTCCTCTTCTCATTGTTATCTGTTGTGACCCAGTCACTCAAGGTGATTTCTTAACCGGAGGGTTGTTTTGTCTTTTTTCCCTTTTGCTTAGCTTTCTTTTTCAGACAGTTTTAAAATATGCCTCAGTTAGTTATAGTATTATATTTACCATTTATATAAATGAATCTATACCCATAACATCTGCCACAACAGTAAAATAGACCATATCTGTTGAGGCTTATAGTTGGGAATAGCTGCTGCAGGATCATTTCTTACCATTGTTTTCTTGTCAAACGATGTCATCTTTACCAGATGCAAATCCTGATGTTTCACATTACCACCATTTCTAGGGACCCCTCATGTCTTCAGGGAAGGTACAATTCATTGTTTATCTAGTAGAGATGTATTGAACACTGTCCAAACACCAGGCACTGTTCTAGGCACGGGGGATACAACAGTGAACAAATTAAGTAGACAGGAATTCCTACCCCATGAGGTGAGGCATGATTGACAGTAAAACTATTAGCTGGGAATGGTGGCACGCACCTGTAGTTGGATCATTTAAGCCTAAGAGTTCAAGGTTACAGTGACCTATGATTGTGCTGCTTACTACACTCCAGCCTGGGCAACATAGTGAGACTGACCTTTCCTTTACAAACAAAATACAAAAATTAGCTAGGCATAGTGGCATGCGCCTTTAGTCCCAGCTATTCAAGAGTCTGTGGTGGGAGGATCGCTTGAGCCCAGGAGTTGAAGGCTGCAGTGAGCCAAGATGACACCACTGCATTCCAGCCTGGGTGGCAGAGCAAGACCATATCTCCAAAAACAAAAAAAGCAAAGTTACAAAAAAATTAAAAGAACATACTGTGCTGGAGCAAGGGTAGAAGCCAGGAGACTAGTTAGGAATGTTATTGCCTCGATCCAAGCAAGAGATGATCATTTAGTTGAGAAAATTAGTGGAGATGGTAAAAAATAGATGGATTCTGGGTATATTTTTAAGACAGAACTGGCACAGGCTTGCTTATATGGGGTATTTGAGAAAAAGAGGAGTTAAGGATGGCAGTAAGGATTTTGGACTGAGCGCTTAGAAGGTTGGAGTTGCTGTTTACTGAGATACAGAAGATGGCAGGAAGAGCAGTTTGTAAGTGTTGTGGGATGGGGAGTAGGGGGAAGGGAGTGGAGTTCTAACATAGGTCTTTAAGGTTGAAAATATATTTTTGACATATATCCTAAAAGCAAAGCTGACACTAGGGATTCTTTCCAAGCAGATTTGTCCGGTGACGTCAGCGATAACCAGGATCCTTGAGCAGGATCCTTGACTCATGGCCCCTTTCTAAACGCACTTCTTAGAGAGAACAATGCCCTCATAAAATACCTTCCTAGAATAGCGTTTTAGTTTTAATTGTCCTGTTGACTTACCATGGAGGAAAACTCAGTGGACTGCCATGCCTATTGTTTTCTCTTATTCTTATTTCATATTCTTGCCAATCTTTTCTCATGCTGGAACTGGGATTTTTGTTTTGTTTTGTTTCCTTAAAACCAGGTAGTGTTGATTGCTTTAATTTGCTATATTTTCTCTCCACTGTGAGTGATAGAGTAAATCAGTTTTATTAACTAAGTTTCGTTTATTTCAATTATTTGTTGGAAATAAGTTAGTTATATGCAGTTAACTTTGGTCTAGTGAAAAAGACATCTGTACTAGTCACATATCTATAATAACTAACCATATAAGCTTAAATCTCCTGGTCTCCCTGAGTCTCCGTTTTATCATCTATAAAATGGAACAGTGTCACCTATGGTCTAGCTTTACGTTTACAGGATTCTTTGGTATGCCTTTGTGATCATTATGTTTGATAGGAACTAATGCATAAACTTTTTTCTTTTTGATTGAGGGGAGACCATGGTAGGGAGCTGTGTAACAAAGCAGAAGCAGCATTGTTTAGACTTTCACCTGGAAATCAAGACATGTGGGATGTAACAACCCAACTTTGCTCTGTGCCAGTCATCAGCCTTGGAAAAGCCGTGTAACCTCTTGGTGTTACCATTTCCTCCAAAGAGGAAATGACAATCTCTGTCCTGCTTACTTCAGAGGTGAAAATTATATTAGATGATATACACAAAAGCACTTTGAAAAATATTAAGTTCTATTCAAATATAAGCTGTTCTTATCCATAGTCATCATTGTAAGGCCTTATGTCTACATTCTCTTTTCATTGACTTGAGCCTCTCATCTGGTTTTATTATTTCTGAGTTAATTTATTACCAGGCCCTTTCTTAGGGTGGCCCCTTCCATCATGTGGATATGTAGTCTCAGGGTGCTCCACTGTCCAGAGGTTCACTGGCCAAGTGCAAGCTGGCTATTACACATGACAAAATCTGTTCTGTTTCAGCTGAGACTCAGCTGCCCTGTGATGCTAAGTATCTTCTTTGTGCAAATAGACTTTAAGTAATACATGATACCTGATAAGGATAATTTTATATATGTTATATAAAGGTGAGTTAACTTATATTAATAAATAGCTACCATATTTAGAGGTCTACTCTGTACCAAACAGGGTGTCAGGCATGTAATCCTCATTACATCCCTGGAGCAGATCACCACTGCTTTACAGGTGAGGAAAGTAACTTGTCCAGGCTATATGCTAATAAATGGTATCTGAGAGCTGAGATTTGAATCCAACTTTGAGAGTCTAAAGCCTTTCTTGTTTGTCATTTAGTTTTCTTACTTTCAACTACCTCGCCCTATTCTAACAGGTCTGTTCCCTCACGTTAAGATAGCATAGTTCTATTTCTGCATCTTTTATTTAGCCTAGAATATCTTGCTCCATGCTTCTTTATCTGTTTATTTTATATTTATCCTTCGTTATACCACTCAAGTTTTAATTTCAGACCACCCCAACTCACAGTAAATGATTCATCTTTAGATTTCTTCATTATATGAGTATCTTAGTCTGTTTTGTACTGGTATATCAGAATAGCAGACTGGGTAATTTATAATGAATAGAAATTTATTTGGCTCATCATTCTGGATGCAGGAAAGAGCAAGGTTGATGGGCTACATCTAGTTGAGGGCCTTCTTGCTACATCATCTTATGGTGGAAGGTGGAAGGGTAAGAGAGCATTTAAGAAAGAGGAAGGGGGCCAAGCTCATTCTTTCATCAGGACGCCACTACTGCAATAACTAACCCACTTCCATTGTGATTATATTAATCCATCCTTGAGGGCAGAGCCCTCATGACCTAGTCAATTTTTTTTTTTTTTTTTTTGGTAATACAGGGTCTCATTGTGTCACCCAGGCAAGGAGGCAAGGGTATAGTGGCACAGTCATGGTTGACTGCAGCCTCAACCTCCCAGGCTCAAGTGATCCTCCCACCTCAGCCTCCCAAGTACTTAGGACTACAGGCATGTTCAACGATGCCTGGCTAATTTTTTTCTTTTTTGTTGAGATGGGGTCTCACTATGTTGCCCAGGCTGGTCTCAAATTCCTCCGCTCAAGTGATCCTCCCACCTCAGCTTCGAAAAGTGCTGGGATTACAGGCGTGAGCTACCCTGCCTGGCCTAGTCACATTTTAAAGTCTCACCTTTCAGCGCCGTTGCATTGAGGATAAAGTTTGCAACATATGAACTTTGGGGAATACATTCAAACCATAACATTAAACAACTAGTTTGGGACTTACCAAATACTATCTATCCCAGAAGGTTGCAGTAGGAATAAAGTACAGTACATATTAGAGCACCAAAATATGTAAAAGTTATAAACAAATATAATTGGCCATTTCTGTTATAGCATCTTTATATAATGTATGGGCTCTGTACTGATGGAACAGAAAACTCAGGTTGATTTTAGAGGATCTGATAGCCATGTGACTGGCTTCTCACCAGGAACTGAATGACCTCAGCAGGTATCTCTAGGGAACACTTCTTATTTCCTGAGTAGTCTGTCTGCCTCTCTAAAGCACAGCGTTCAACAGTGCCAGCAACCTTTTTTTGTAGTAAATATTTATGCTTCAAAAATAAAACTACATATAATTATAAATTTATTCTGTAGTGTCAACCTTAGGGTTTAAGAATTTTCTTCTTGAGACTAAAAGTAGAAATCAGAGAGACATGGAGAGCAGAGCAGCTTGATTTTGATGAGTGATAATGTAGAAAAACTTAGCATCTCTCTAATGAGAGATTAAAGTCTCAATGAAGCCACATCTTTAAGACACCACAGTAAAAACACAGTTTTGAAAGAAAGCATTTTATTACACTAACTTATTATTTTCTCTTTTTAACAAGGGATCAGCTAAAGAGAGAAACAATTAAATTGGTGGCCTGCAAAAAAAGTAAAGCTCTAGGTTTTGTTTCACATGACCATGTTTGCTTACAAGGTAAAAATTTAAACCTAGGTGCAGGTGCATGTACACTTCATCAAGGTACATGACAACGCTAAATGGGTGGTTATCAGAGAGTTAACATCAACATAGGTGGAGATATTAAATTGTGTTCTATATTACTCAGGTCTGAGGCAAGCATTACTTAATTTCCTTGTCAATGACATAGATATAATTGAAAGTATGTTTATGAAGTTTACAGAGGACAAGTTGATGATCTTGGAAGATATGAATAGTGTTTGGTATGACCATGATAAACTAGAGAGATTATATATTTTAAAGGGTAAAATTCACAAGGAAAATCTAGAAGATAATGCATTTCATACAAAGTAAAAACTTAGTAGATATAAGGAAAGACGCGACAGACCAAATAGATGTGAAGTCGCTGATGACCATAAGAGGACCATAGACTAAAGTTTAACACACATCCTTCTGCCTTCCCTCCCCCAACCCTTTCTCTGGCTCATTCTTGAATAATTGTTTCCTGGGGTTTCAGGTGCTTCTACATAATTTAACTCTCATTTCCTTATTGTCACACAACTTGGTTTTCTCCTAATGATCATGAGTCAATTCTGACATTACCTTCTCTGGAAAACTTTCCTGATATCTCCTCCTCACATCTCCTACTGGCTCCATTCCCTTCCTTTCTACTTTCATGGTATCTTAGATAGAAGTTTTTATAGCAGTTACTTCCAGCTATATTTTAACTGTGTTCTTTCTGTTCTCTCTCAATTGACTGTGACCCTAGAGTCTTTTATTTCCATAAAGTGGTTAGCACATTGTGGCTGCTCGTTATGTGTTTGTTAAATGAATGAATGAAACAGTATTTTTAAGAGAAGGCTTTTAGTTTACATTAGAGCCTCTGGAAACAGGTCAGAAGAGCTCACCTCCACTCCAAAGCACCCAGTACCCAGCCTATTTAGAATTATTGTGAAGGCCCTTGAAAGGACTGGCCAAGCCAGAAGTCATAAATCTGTCATTACTCTATTTTCCAGCCAAACTGAATGATCTGCTCTTTCCAAACTTCTGTTGATTCTGAGCCTTCATTTATGTTATTCCCTTTGACTGGAATGTATCCTTCCCAAGTTCTCTATTCCTTGCTTGCTCTCTTATTCATTTTTGTAGACCTTGTTCAGCTGTTATCTTTGGGGAACCTTCCCTGATAACCTCTTCTTCCTCTTACTACCCTATCACATGTATTACAATCTTGAATTACTGGCCTAGCTTTCCTATTAGATAAGTGCCTTAGTCCAATTTCTGGTGCTATAAAAGAATACCACAGACTGGGTGATTTATAAACAACAGAAATTTATTTGACTCACTGTTCTGGAGGCTGAAAAGTCCAAGAGCACAGTGCTGGCATCTGGTGAAGGTCATTCAGTAGTGGAAGGGCACATGAGCCTGTGAGGCAGAGAGGAAATCAGCTTAAACTCATCCTTTTATCGGGGGCCCACTCCTCTGATAACTAGCTCACTCCTATAGTGAGGCCATTAACTCATTCCTGAGGGGAGGGGCCTCTCGACCTAATCAGCTCCTAAAGGCCCAACCTCCCAATGTTATCATGTTGGCAGTTAAATTTCAACATGAATTTTGGAGAGGACATTCAAACCATAGCATCCGTCAACCACATGAGGATACAGATCATGACTTATTTAACTTGTATTTGAATGAAACCAAGCCAGCAAATGGATTATTTCTTCTCTGGTGATGAGGGTACTTTAGTAGGAGCTAGAGTTTGTAGGAGACACCATTTTATCGATTGCTAACTGGTAGACAATTTAATATATTTTAAATGGTTTTATAACGTCAATTAAATAGTATAAATTTAAATTTCTTTGCTGTAGCTCCAGAGTATCTCCTGAGGTGGTTGACAACAGTACTGTAAGTTATTGAAGTAGTTCTTTTGGAATGAAGTAATATGTTTGAGATGTGTACACCTAAGAATTCAGAGGCCCTCTATTGAAGATTCATCTTTAGTTGTGATGCTCTCTAATGCTTGATATCTTCTTCCTGTTACTTTTTATTTTATAAGTAGATGTTATTTTTAGGAAATATCATTCTTATATTCATTTCCACATTGTTAAATGTATGAACCAGCAAAAGCTCACTGTGCCTTATCACAAAGAACAGAGAAGAAATAATGTTAATCACATTCCCAAGCGGGCAGCACGGCAGTTACTTTTTTTTATTATTATTATTTTACAGAGATGAACGAAATCAGTCTATCATTGTAAGCGGAGAGTCTGGGGCAGGGAAAACAGTTTCAGCTAAGTATGCCATGCGATACTTTGCAACTGTGAGTGGTTCTGCCAGTGAGGCCAATGTGGAAGAAAAGGTCTTGGCCTCCAACCCCATCATGGAGGTAAGACGGCAGAGTCCTCGGCTTTCTTCCTGTATTCTCTTGATAAGAAACATGTTCAAAAAATTAATGGATACAGCATGTCTCAGAAAGCCTGGGGTCTCCCATCCACTAACATTAAGAAAATACTTTTCTACTTGTTAATAAAAAATCTAGGAAAAGTAAAAATTGGTAAGGTACACATTTTTAGTAGAGCCCAGCTATAGAGGAATCTGCTATAGTCCATAATCCTGAATTTTTAACCTACCAGCAAAATTGTTGCCTCTAAATACCAGGCAGCAATTAAGTTTCCTTCCTCTCATTAATTGACTCATATCTTATTGTTCCTTTCCTTTTGCCAAAAGTACAAGTTACTTATTTCCCCCAAGTCCTGAGTTCTTATTTATGCTCCTCCTAAAACATAAGATTTGTTATGCTCAGGTATGAATGAGTTTAATTATTCTTTGCCCATATTTCATTTTCTGTACTTAGTCCAACCTAAGTTGGCTTAAATTTTAATATAGCTAAAGTTTTAATTTTTTTTCCAGATTTGAACTATAAACTTAAACTATGATCTTTGTAAACTTTTGTTGTTGTTCTGTCAAGCACGTAACACAGCTATAGGTTCGTGAAAGACATTTAGTAACTGTAGGGTTTTGAAAGGGGAAGAACTATGAAAGAATGTGCTTTCAAACCTCGAATACACCATATACAAAGCCAATTAAAATGGAACTAATTGTGAGAGAATTTGAGTATTTTAGGATTGGTAAATAGAGTATTCTTGGTCTTAATATGATTTTTGGAAAGTTATAGTTTTATATGAAGACTTATTAAATGGAGAAAAATAAATTTTGTTAAATAGAAATTAGTTTGGACATACAGAAACAAACCTTCCTTGTTAAAAATTCGAATCAGCATTTTTTTATCCCTGTCTTTTTTCTTTGTCAAGCCTTATTTGTCACCCAAACACAGATGGAGTTAAAATCGGCCTGGTGCACCTGTGGTACAAGTGGTTTTTGCAATAACCTATCTAGAGGTAAATGTGCTTGGTTTGCAGTGCTGCGTGTGACACTTCAGAACAGAATGCTGTGACCTCTTATCTGTAGAGCTGCCCTCTAGAGCAGCAGAACTTCTATTTTTTGGGATCAATAAACAAGATATGATAGGGAAGTTCAGAGGCTTCCCAGGCAGGATGTGCTATGGAAAAAAAATACTGGGAATGCTTTCTGAAATAGGATGAACAGGATGAAACAAATGTTTGCACCAAAAGATTATAGTGAGAATTTTAAGCAAATGTTAAGATTTTTGAAAAAATGTAAGCTACAGATATAGTGCTGGATGTCACTAGTGTTAATGTTGGGGAAATAGAGTATGTGGAGCCAGTTTTTTGTTTGGGGTCAGAAAACAACAGGGCTTCTTTTCTTTCTCTTATTTCAACTGGTTTTAATCATGACAACAAATTCTTCGTATTTGACAACAGTTGAAGCCATTCTAGTCCCTAACATTAGAATATCCCAAAGTCTTGAATGTGATGGCATTAGGTAATCCCATTTTTTCTGGGCCTGGACCATATACTACTAGGATTTGAAGTTGTCTTTGAGGATAACTTAAGTCTAGAATGAACCTTCTAGAATTTTTCAAAAGTTGAGTGAACTATTTTATGAGCTCTTTCAAACAAACCAGCCTCATTGTTTGTTTTTTTTTGAGACAGTGTCTTGCTCTTGTCGCCCAGGCTGGAGTGCAATGGCACAATCTTGGCTCACTGCAATCTCCGCATCTCAGATTCTAGTGATTCTCTTGCCTCAGCCTCCTAAGTAGCTGGGACGACAGGCACCTGCCACCACACCCGGCTCGTTTTTGTATTTTTAGTAGAGATGGGGTTTCACCATGTTGGCCAGGCTGATCTCCTGACCTCATGGTCTGCCCACCTTGGCCTCCCAAAGTGTTGGGATTACAGACGTGAGCCACCACGCCACTTCATTGATTTTTCTACTACACAGATTTGAATTGTACTAGTAGGAATGATATTAAAAATTTGGAATAGCTACTGTCTTAGTGCATTTAGTGTTGCTATAACTGTAGCCTCAGAATATCGGAGGCTGGGTAATTTATAAAGAAAAGAGATTTATTTAGCTCATGGTTCTGTGGGCTCTGGCATCTGCTAGGCTTCTGGTGAAGGCTGGCATGCTGCATCATAACATGGCAGAGAATGTCACAGGGCAAGTCGACACATGTGAACGGGGAAACCTGAGGGCCTCCAAACTTCATAAGAACCCACTCCAGTGGAAATGAATCCATTTCTGAGAGAACTAATTCAGTCTCACCAGAGGGAGAACTCACTACAGGAGAACTTCACCCAGGCTTTCAGTATAGATTTGCCCCCAAGACCAAAACACCTCCCACTAGACCCCACCTCCCAGCACCTCCATATTGGGGATCAAATTTCAACATAAGTTTTGGTGGGGACACATTATATCCAAACCACAGCAGTCAAAAATAATACTTAAAATATGCAATTCTAAAGAATATGCCGGCCGGGTGCGGTGGCTCAAGCCTGTAATCCCAGCACTGTGGGAGGCCGAGGCGGGTGGATCACGAGGTCAAGAGATCGAGACCATCCTGGTCAACATGGTGAAACCCCATCTCTACTAAAAATACAAAAAATTAGCTGGGCATGGTGGCGTGTGCCTTTAATCCCAGCTACTCAGGAGGCTGAGGCAGGAGAATTGCCTGAACCCAGGAGGCAGAGGTTGCGGTGAGCCGAGATCGCGCCATTGCACTCCAGCCTGGGTAACAAGAGCGAAACTCCGTCTCAAAAAAAAAAAAAAAAAAAAAGAATATGCCCTGCTTGCTGGGATGGACATAAAAGATAAAGGGATCAGCTATGCTCACCTCCTTCCTTCTCTGTCTAAATAATTTAAAATTGTTTATAGGAATTTGGATTAGGAAATATTTGTTAAAGAGTTGAAGAACCAATTTTCAATTACTACAAAAAAGGGCATCTCAGTTTGAAAGATGGAAATGTAATATGGAGCTGAAGAATAGTGACACAGGGTTTACAGTTACTGGAAGAAAACATAGGTAAAATATTGAGTCTGTAGCCTGAAAAATGTGTAACTTTAAACTGCTTCAAGACTGTGTCCCTATATCAAAGCCCTTTGCTGTGGTGTCAGCAAAGGGATATCTGTGTTTCCGGTGATCTGCCGAAGCTTCTCATAGGATAATGAGCATCCTACATGGTTAGCATTACAATCCAGTGGCTAAAGAAATATGCACATTATTCTTTAAAAACAAAGCGCCTTGTTCTCAACATAGGCTTCTTTTGCAAAATGTGAATGATATACACAGAATAATTGTATTCACTCTATTTCATGATGTTTTCATTTTTTTCCTGGAAATTTTCACCATAAGATGGGAATAAGCACACTGAAACTTTTTTTTTTTTTTAAAAGACAGGATCTCGCTCTGTCTCCCAGGCTGATCTCAAATGAACTCCTGGGTTCAGGCAATCCTCCTGGCTCAGCCTCCCAAAGTGCTGGGATTACAGGTGAGAGCCACTGTGCCCAGCTTGGATCTTAGTTTTTCTTTTCTTTTCTTTTCTTTTCTTTTTTTTTTTTTTTAATTTGAAACAGAGCATTGCTTTTGTTGCCCAGGCTGGAGCTCAGTAGGATGATCTCAGCTCACTGCAACCTCCACCTCCCAGGTTCAAGTGATTCTCCTGCTTCAGCCTCCTGAGTAGCTAGAATTACAGGCATGCACTACCACGTCTAGCTACTGTAATATTTTTAGTAGAGATGGGGTTTCACCATGTTGATCAGGCTGTTCTCAAACTCTTGACCTCAGGTGACCTACCCGCCTCGGTCTCCCAAAGTGCTGGGATTACAGGCGTGAGCCATTGTGCCCAGCCAATTGTTCTTTTTTATCTTCAATAACCATAATTGAAGATTTTCATCTCCATTTAGTAAAGAAGAGTGACTCATGCATCATTACATTAAAATAGTAAAATCAAGATCACACAATTTCCTTTTTCCTCCAGTGACTTCTTGCTGACTAAAGTAAAAATAGTATTCGGGAGTCTCTGGTGAATACGGTGCTTATATGGCAGAGGAAACAATTGAGGGAGTGATCGAAAGGTACTGTTTATGTATAGAAACTTCTTTCCCTATCAGGTTTCAGGACTTAGAATCAAATAATTTTATTTTTTTAAAAGAACCTACAGCTCATCTATCCTAGTCAATTTATACTTGAGAATACTAATGCTCCTCAAAGAGATTAAATAATGGCAAGTTGATAACAGGGCGTGGTTTAATAGTCAGGTCTTCTGACTTCTATTTCATTTGTTCTTTCTACCATTGTTTGTCTATGTTTAAATACATTTTACTTGAAGACAAAAGGAACTGCTTCAACTCTAGCATCCCTGCCTCTTCTCACAGTATGGTGGAGTTTCGGCAGGTGGGCCACTCTAATGCCCAGTATGAGTAGATGGGGAGAGATGATATATGGAAGGTGGGGTAAGAGTTGAGGAAGGAGGAGAAGTTGTGGCCCACCCTTCCTCCACTTGCCTAGTTACTGGCAGGAAAGTGCTTAGGGACAGTAACCAATGCTTATTGAGTGCTTATTGAGTAGGTGCTGCTACTTCTACTACATGTAACCTTTCATCTGCTCTTTGGAAGAATATGTCACGTTGAGAGAAAAGTCTGCATTTATAATTAATCTCCTTTTCCAAATAAAATAGTGGGACTGTATAAAGACTTTTTGCTGTGGTGTTTGGTAATATCAAGAGGGGTAACATCTGAGTAAATGAATAGATAAATTATCTCAGTCTACATTAGGTCCTTCTCTAATTTTGCCAGGAAGATATTCTTATTTTTCTAGAAAAGCATTTAAAATATTAATCTAAAATATAGCAGTGTCCTCACTGCCAAAACAAAATAGGATGATATCTACAGTCTATTTCAGAAAGTGAAAATATATTTTCTTTGATTGGTCAAAGGATATAATGTGTTGAGTTGTATGGCTGTGTTACTACTGTTTTCATCACATACATTTGTATCACTCTTAAAACTACATTGTATTTTCACATCTTTCTGCTGTGGTTTTGATATACTTATCCTAACACAGGCATTACACAAGTGAAAGATACAAATCTTTTATGAAATTTGCTTATTAAACATTTAATATATGCATTATGTAAACACTGGCTTTTCTAGCTACACCTTTTTATTTACTTGCTTTGCCTTAAAAAAAATTTATGGAAGCAAGTTACCTAAATCAGAAAGACATATGTCATTAAAATTTTTAAAGTTATATAAAACATTTAGCAGCAAGTTATATTCTCTGCATTCTGTAGCAGAGATTTCGTAAGCTAGATATAACTATCAAAATCCAAAGCCAAATTTAACTTTTTCTGGTTTTGAAAATGGCCTTTGAATTGAGTGTATAATACCAATGCTCTGCTAATAAATAGCCCAATCTTGCCACAGGATAAGATGATAGATACATCAGGGTAAAGAGACCCTGAACATTAGAGCAGCATTTCCAGGAAATAGTAATTGGCCTTAACTATCTAATTTACGTAAAGCAGGTGAAGTTTTATGGGAAAAAATAAAAACCTAATGCTTACCTAACAAAGCCCATGCCTTGGCAGCTCCGGTTCCCATTTGTTCTCTTTTCTTTCCTTTTTTTTTTTTTTTTTTTTTGAGACAGAATTTTGTACTGTCACCCAGGCTGGAGTGCAGTGGCACAATATCAGCTCACTGCAACCTCCGCCTCCTGGGTTCACACAATTCTCCTGCCTCAGCCTCTGGAGTAGCTGGGATTACAGGCACACACCACCACACTCAGCTAATTTTTTCCTATTTTTTAGTACAGATGGAGTTTCACTATATTGGCCACACTGGTCTTGAACTCCTATCCACCCACTTTGGCCACCCAAAGTACTGGGATAACAGGTGTGAGTCACTGCACTCCGCCTGTTCTCTTTCATTGCTGGCATGAATTGCTATGTTCAGATAACCCAAATGGTGTATGAAAATGTTCTAACCTCTGGACTCAAGTCTGCTGTTTCTGAAAATCATTTTTTGTGAGAATAACAAGACAAATAAGAACTATCTGTGTGCTGTGCAGTGAGCAAAGCATACACATGTGCTTGCAAGGGCAAAAGTGGTTCTGTTCTTAAAAGAATCCGTTTTAAGGACCTGTGTTCTACTCTATCCTTTCTCTCCCTGAGCAGACTCTGTAAATGTCAGGTTATGAATTACGGTTCTGAAATCTTGTTTTCTCCCTTCCTTTTTAGTCCATTGGAAATGCTAAAACAACCAGGAATGATAATAGCAGCCGTTTCGGGAAGTATATTGAGATTGGTTTTGATAAGAGATATCGAATCATTGGTGCCAATATGAGAACTTATCTTTTAGAGAAATCCAGAGTGGTGTTCCAGGTAAGCCAACCATATACAGATATGTACTTGTGTTATGTTGCTGTATAATTGTAGAGCCCATGCTTGCTGGTAAGCATTTTATTTCTAGATACTCTTGAGCATATTATGACAATATTACCTCCAACTGCACTTGGACTGAAACATGTAAAATGGTGCCTGTTAGGGGTAGGGGAGTACCACTCAAATGCTAATAGTCTTTGGGATTGGTCACTTTTAGGTTTTGACTTTTTCCTGCAGATGCTTGTGGGAAAGCTTAGTTGAGAACAGGTACTGTTAGTTTAGTCTTGTCTCTCATATTTCTAAATGATAGGAAAGGCGTTGTTCCATGCCTTCAGTAAGTTACAATTTGAACTCAGTTGAAGAAAAAAAATTATCCTCTTTCATTCCTTCCTTCTCCTTTCTTAGAATATATTATTGTTTAGATAGAATAGTGAAGGTTAAAAAAACTCTTCATAACACAATTGTGAACTACTATCAAAAAACACAGTTGATGCGTCTGTGTAGGGTTGACATTCACACATATGCTATTGGTCCTTTTTGATTGGAAAGTGGGAAATACTATATATTTACATCTCTAACAGGCTTTTCTAGTTTCTGTGTGTGAAACCACCTGATCTCTTATTTAATCATGCTGTGGACATTGGTATATTGGTAATTTGTTCAGTGATTTCTGTCCCTGTAATAGGTTTTCTTTTCCTGACATCAGCCCCTGTTGGGCATCAAATCTGACCTTGGCCTTACTAATATGATTCATTAGCCAACTGAGTATACTGTCAAATTCAAGCATATAATGGTAGACTATTAGGATTTAGTTTTGTATGAATAATATTATTGCACCTGTATTTTTTAGATATATATGTGGAAAAGACTCTTAGGAAATACTGAAAAATTATCTTAGAATTTATATGTGATTTATCTTCTGTTTTATAAAAATTATTGATTTAAATTATATAAACTAAAATGACATAGAAGATGTACATTTGAGGGTTTCTGACAACCACAGTAGACGGTCCACTCTAAAATATGGCAATAATGGGATTATTCTCCATGAAGAGGTACCATTAGAAAATAGTATTGAGTATTACAAAAAAAAATGGTTTTACTTTCCCCCAAAAGCACTGATTATCTTATGTTTGTGGACATGTATCAAGTTGTTCACTAGTTCAAAAAGAATTTTCAAAAAATCCAATGTTTTATGCTGAGTTTGACCAACACATACTCAAACATATGCATATAGACTATAAATCATAAGGTTTAATAATCACAAATAAGTAACAGGAAATACTGGAAAGTATAATTTAACCAACTGATAATTAAATATTAAAATCTTATTTTATGATAGACTTTTCTGAGTTCTAGATTAAAAGCTGTAATTAAAAACTCTTCTTATTTCAAAGGCAGAAGAGGAGAGAAACTATCATATCTTCTATCAGCTTTGTGCCTCAGCAAAGTTACCTGAATTTAAAATGCTACGATTAGGTATGACTATGGCATTAAATTTATTTTTCTGGCATTGTTTTCTGTTAATTTCCAAGTTCCTAAATTTACTTATTAAAAAGGAGCTTATCCCATATGGAAATACTTATGGATAAAATGATAAAAAGTCAGCATTTACCTTCAAAATAACCCATGGGAGTGGAGAAGGAGTAAATGGCTGTATAAATGGAACAGGATTGGCCTGGAGGTGATTTTAGATGGGCGTTTAAGATGAGTAATGAATACCTAGTGGCTCATTATAAGTCTCTTGACTTTTGTATATGTTTCATATTTGCCTTGATTAAAAGAAAAAAAATTTAAAGGAGTTGATTTGTTAGAGGCTAGTAGGGTTTCTTATGAGGGGAGTAAAGGATTTGAGGAAATTATTCTAGTGCGTAGATTGGAATAAAACCTTTAGGAAAGGACTATTTATTTTACCAGTTAACATAAATAAACTATAAATATTTTACTTCATTATTTAATTTTAAATTTTGTATTAAAATACGATTGAAAACACAGACAAAGTCTAGACCATGTACACTTAACTGTGCTATCACCACCTCTGATTCAGAGTGGACAGAAGGGTAGGAGGCAAGGCTTTTTCATAAATCAGAAAACTTTCATTTTTCTTCATTACAGGAAATGCAAATGACTTTAATTACACAAAACAAGGAGGCAGTCCTATGATTGAAGGAGTGGATGATGCAAAGGAGATGGCACACACCAGGCAGGCCTGCACTTTGCTAGGTAATGCCACTTTATTCTCGAGCTTTTTTGAGGAATAGCTTTTTTACTCCAGCAACCTTTGTTTAGAATATTGGCTTGATTTTTTATTAAGTGATGAGTATTGCTGGAAGATTTAATATTCCGTATAGGACACATTTAAATGTCAAACAGGAGGTTTCTTTTTGGGGTGATGGAACTGTTGTAAAATTAGATTGTGGTAATGGTTGCACAACTTTGTAAATTTACTAAAAATCATTGAATTGCACACTTAAAATGGGTGAATTTTATGGTATGCAAACTAGCCTTCAATACAACTGTTTAATATTTGGGGCATCAGGGGAGGGCTACTTGTAATTCTTTGCTTAAATTTTTACAAAATTTGAAACCTGAAAGTAAATGAAATGGCATCCTGTACAAGCTCACATTTGTTAGAGCTTTCTGTTTGTTTTGTTTTCGGGATCTTTTTGTGGCTGGGAAATGTGGCTGAGTTGGCATCATGACAGAATATTACATTATGTGTAGTTTATTCCAGCATTTTTTATTTTTCTGTTCCAACATTTCTGAAGCAGCTCAGATGTCACTCTGTCTTGTTTCTGGGATTTAAAAATTGTTGGGCCTACATGTGAATAAACTAATCTTTAAAACTGTCATCTACAACTTAAAGAAAAAAAAAAACCCTCAAAATATAAATACCTCTAACATGGTATGATGGCATGTTGAGTAGTACCCTCAGGTGAGTTAATTTAATGTAAAAGCGCTGCTGATTATAGTGTAGACCAGGACCACTGTGGGCCTTGCTAGAAATGCAGAATCCTGAATCCCTTCTCAGACCTACTGAAACATAATCTGCATTTTATCAAAAATCTATTGGTGATTCACATGCACATTTAAAGTTTGAAAAGCGCTGCATTTCTTCTAGGGCTAAATCTGTTTGTAAATACTAAATCGTGAATTTGAAAAAGCCATACGGAGGTTGCATTGGGCTGAGATCACGCCATTGCACTCCAGCCTGGGCAGCAGAGTGATTCTGTGCCTCAAAAAAAAAAATAAATAAATTAAAAATAAAAATAAAAAGCCATAATGCAGGCGATGCTAAAAAAAAAAAAAAAAAAAAAAAAAAAACAAAAAAAAAAAACACACACACACACATTCATTATAGGGTCAGTACTGAATTATCCTTTGTAAGATTACATACTTGGAAATAATTTCACTGCCTCTATTTGCATGTAATTATATCTAATTTTCTGGAGATTCTTATGTTATTTTAAAATGAAGCCAGATCTGATAGAAGCCAAACACTGTCCAGCTTTCTCATCCTGCCTTATCCTTATCCTTCAATTTCTGCTCTGAAGCTGTATTTGGACACATACTCATCAGGCTGGGATATAGCACCAGCCTAAACACTTCTAATCTTGGTATGTCTTTGACTTATACTTGGTCTGTAAAGAAGTAATTAAATAATACTTCTTAAACAGCCTTAAGCAGTAACAGCTTTATTGGGCTATATTTGGAATAGAGATAAATAGAAATGATAATGTTAATTTTAAACCCAGTGTGTGACAATGATGACAATAATTTTTTTAGCACTTACTGTGTGTCACATCGTGTATTAAGTATGCTATGTGCATTATCTCATTTAATCTTCACATACTTTGAAGTAGTCACTATTATTTTCATATCTTAAATGAGAGAATGGAAGCATAGAAGACTGAGTTACCTGTCCATTTGTGATGATAGGTCCATAGCAGAGCCAGGTCTCAAGCCCATATCAGCCACAGCCTACAGCCATGCTATCCATCCATCATGCTAAACTGCCTAATGTGTTAATGTCAACAAAGATGAAAGTGTTGTTAGCTATGACACATTATAATGTGTACAACATCTGGCAATATTCAGAAATTAACAATAGGTTTAAAATTGTCTGCTGTAGTTGTTTAGTTGCTGTTCTGAAATTAACCACTTGTTTATTCACTCTTTTGTTTCAGGAATTAGTGAATCTTATCAAATGGGAATTTTCCGAATACTTGCTGGCATCCTTCACTTAGGCAATGTTGGATTTACATCCCGAGATGCAGACAGCTGCACAATACCTGTAAGTTCAGAATAAGCTTAGTGGGATGGCAGTTGAATTGTGTTTTAGATTTGTAGATTGTTTAAAGAAGCAGGATAGTTTAAATCTCTCTATCAATATTATCAGAAATGTAATTATCAAAGAGATATATTATCCAAAGGAGAATCTCGAACTGAGAATAAAGAAATATGGATTCTAATCCCCAGTGCATAGCAATTGTGTGTGTGTGTGTATGTGTTTGTGTGTGAGACAGAGAGAGAAAAAGAGAGAAGGATAGATAGATGAAATTAATGACTGTGATGCAGATGACCCCACAAGATCAGAGACTGACGGAAGTTAGAGCTATTAGGGATCATATCATGTCCTTGCTTAAATCTTTCAGGACTCCCCACTGCCTTCAAAAGGAGATCCAATACCTTATGTGGTATGACATGACATGAAAGGGCCTTCATGTCTGACTCCTGGCTTCCTACTGAGCTTCTCTCTCACTGCTTCTCATACTGCACATCCAGCCATTTCCATACCAGGCTGTCTCTCTCTCCTGGCTTTGCTCAGATTCTCTCTGCTGGGGTACGTTGAATGCTTTTCTTCCCTAGCCAGCTCTTACTCACTTCTCACAGGCAGATCTGTAGCATCTCTTCTTAGAATCATATTCCCCCATCTGCTTTCTTTCATTGTAGCTCAAATCACATTGTTCTATATAGGTCTCTCTTGCTTGCCTTTAACCACTAGGATTTGAGGTTTTTGAGGCTATTCATTTTGGTGTTCTTAATTAAGGCCTTAATTTAAATGGCATTTATTCCACTCACTTGGTTGCCTTTTTTCTCTGGATCTATAGCCTTTTGTGTAAAAACAGATTCTCTACTCCTATAAGAAAAGAATGTATGTCCTGTCTTTTCTGGGTATAGTACTTTCATACTATATTCGATGTGTGAGACATGATATAATATAAAATAAATGACTTTATGATTTGCAGAGAAAACTTGTTCTATAACTTTTTTTCTTTTCTTTCTTTCTTTCTTTCTTTCTTTCTTTCTTTCTTTTTCTTTTCTTTTCTTTTCTTTTCTTTTCTTTTCTTTTCTTTTCTTTTCTTTTCTTTTCTTTCTTTTCTTTTCTTTCTTTTCTTTTCTTTTCTTTTCTTTCTTTGATGGAGTTTCACTCTTATTTCCCAGGCTGGAGTGCAAAGGCACTATCTTGGCTCGCTGCAACCTCTGCCTCCCAGGTTAAGGCGATTCGCCTACATCAGCCTCCTGAGTAGCTAGGACTGGAGGTACACACCACCATGCCCAGTTAATTTTCTATTTTTAGTAGTAATTTTGTATTTTAGTTTTGCCATGTTGGCCAGGTTGGTATTGAACTCCTGACCTCAGGTGATCCACCCACCTCAGCCTCCCAAATTGCTGGGATTACAAGTGTGAGCCACTGTGCCTGGCCCTGTAACTTATTTTTAGTCCAAGGACCAAAAGAAGCTAGATGGGCAGAGAGTTTAGTTTACAGAAAGCTTGATTCTCATGATTTTCTTTATGAATATTTGAGGTGTAATTTTTCTGAGCCATGGGTCCAAATTCCCTCTCTCTTCCTCCAGCCTCTTTTCCTAATGGTGGTTTTGTGAAAGTCAAAATGATGATTCTGATTTAAACCCTGATTTCTTCTAATGAAACATTGCTAGTCTTTTAAAAAACAGCTTTGTTGAGATATAAGTCACATATCATGCTCATTTAAAGTGTACCATTAAATGGCTTTTAGTATATTCACAGATATGTGTAACCATCATCACAGTCAGTTTAAAATATTTCCATGACCTCAAAAAGAAACCCAGTGCCCTTTACTTATTGTAACCTATACATCGATTCCCCTAGCCCTAAGCAATCATAAATCTGTTTTCTGCCTCTATAGATTTGCCTGTTCTGGACATTTTAAATAAATGGAATCAGATAACATATGATCTTTTGTGACTGGCTTCTTTCAAAATCCACCCATGTTGTAGCATGTATCAATACTTTATTCTTTTTTATGGCTGAGTAATAGTCCATCATATGGAGATAACACATTTTGTTTATCCATTGGTTGATTGGTGGATATTTGAGTTGTTTTACCTTTTGGCCATTATGAATAACACTACTCTGAATATTGGAATACAAACTGGATTTTTAAAAAATAACTCATTGATTTCTGCATCACCCTCTTTGCCCTCGTGATCTTTCCCCAAATGTCAAGCTTCTAATCAAGAAAGTCATGACTAATATTTTATCACATATATCACTTTGCTATGAGTCTTCCCTAAAATATCAGTGTACTGTTTTCATATTTGAGATATCTAGAAGTTATTAATATTGTCTTGGAGGAATAGTACTTATGTGGAACTTGTCCCAAAGTTACTTCCATTCAGTTCTTATAATTCTGTGATGTTTGTTTTCTAACCATTGCTGTCAACTTTGTTGATTTGCTGATAGCTATAAATACTACAGTTTCACTATTTGGGGTAGGTAGAAATTCAATGAGTTTTTTTTTTTTTTGGAGACAGAGTCTGTCGTCATTCTGTCGCCCGGTCTGGAGTACAGCCTCAGCCTCCTGAGAAGCTGGAATTACAGGCGTGCCCCACTGTGTCCAGCTAATTTTTGTATTTTTAGTAGAGATGGGGTTTCACCATGTTGGCCAGGCTGATCTCGAACTCCTGACCTCAGGTGATCTGCCCACCTCAGCCTCCCAAAGTACTGGGATTATAGGCGTGAGCCACTGCACCTGGCCTTAAATGAGCTTTAAAAGTTACTGGTAAGACATCTCTATTTGATAGTTTTGCCCCACCTTGAAGGCATTTGCTGAACCCGATGACCTTGAGCTTTGGGTTTTGTAGCCAAGTGATGCACAGAAGACGAAGACAAAGTACAGGACTCATATAAACAGGGAAACACAAAGTCTCCTGCCTAAAGCTGCTGAGACCCTAAGTAGGAAACCAGTAGTAATTTGCCAACCACCCACTCCAAGAGTATAAAGAAAACCTGACCCACACTTTGGTGCCAAGTAGATGCAGAAAACTAGATCCCTAAAAATTTGTAACAACAAACTCACTGTCACGCATATTCGTTCCCAGCCTGATTTCATAGTTCTTGGTAGGTCTCAAAAACTACATACCGAAAGTATAGCTTAAATTGATCCTGGGCTGGTAGTGCCCTAGGCATCGGAGAGAAGAAATTGGAAATCTACTTTGGAGGACCCATCTTCAGTCTAGGCCTCAGTGGAGTCCCATGGGAAAAGTTACAAGAAATATTGACTCACAGTCAAAAATCGCAAGTCCCACAGTAAAACAAAATAGCAGGAGCTAGGAGAAACAACAGATAGCAGAGTCATACCTGCTAAGAATGCCAAAATAAATTAACAGGAGATTTGGCACAACTGAAGAGAAAACTGATAAGCTAGAAGATAGATGTGAAGAAATTGTCCAAAATGCAAGATAGGAACCAAAGACAGAGCACTTGAAACAGTAGTTAAGAGAGAAGAGGGACAGAGTTATAATGTCTAATGTTAATCTAATGAAAATTGGTAAAGGAGAGAAGAGAGAGAATAAAGCAGACATAATATTCCAAGAGATCATTACTAAGAAATTTTAGAACTTGTGAAAATGACTAACCCACAGATTCAGAAAGTCCAGAAAATCCCAATTAGCATAAATAAAAAGAAATCTACCCCTAAGCATATCATAATGATATCAAAGACAGAGGAAACTTAAGACAGAGATTAAGAGATTACCCTTGAAGAAATAGCAATTAATCTGATAGTTCACTTCCCCGCTGCAGCTATAAAAGCCAGAACATAGTGGAATGGTATCTTCCGTGTCCTTAGAAACTATTAACTTAGAATCACATATCCAGTTAAAATATCTTCCTAGACTGAATTAAAATTGGAAGCATTTTCAGACAATTAAAAACTTATGAGAGGCCAGGCATGGTAGCTCACACCTGTAGTCCCAGCGCTTTGGGAGGCTGAGATAGGTAGATCACCTGAGGCCAAGAGTTTGAGACTAGCCTGGCCAACATGGCAAAACCCTCTTCCAACTAAAAATACAAAAATTAGCTGGGTGTCGTGGTGTGTGCCTATAACCCCAGCTACTTGAGAGGCTGAGGCATGAGAATTGCTTGAACCTGGATGCTGAGATGGCACCACTGCACTCCAGCCTGGACGATACAGCCAGATGGTCTCAAAAGAAACATGCGTATGAGAGTCTGTGTTGTCAGTAAGCCCTCACTAAAGGAAACATTACATATTGAAGGATATAGTTTAGGCAGAAAGAAAGTGATCCCAGTTGGAAGATCTAAGATGCAAGAAGAAATGAACTAAGAAGTAGTAAAATGTGGGCAAATGTAGATAAAATTTGATTAAAATAATAGTGAATAGTATATTGAGCTGGTAAAAGATGGAATTCCCCACAAGACATGTATTAATTACAAAGGGGAAGATAGTTGTTATTACAGTCAAGAAACCTGGCAGACATTCCCTTAACCAAGTGATCACAATTGATATTACCAATATTTGGACCAATCTGACACACAGAAGAATGCAACACAACTTCTCTGGTATTTCTGCCCAAATCTAATCATAAGGTAACATCATACAGACCCAAATTGAGGGACTCTTCAAAAAGTCAGTGTCACACCATAAAAATTAATTATTTTTTGTAGAAAGCACTGTTAGGCCAACTGGCAAAAATTGAAGTGATCTGTAGGTTACATAATAGGATTGTATCATTGCTAATTTTCTCATTTTGTTCATTATACTGCACTTATATAAGGTAATGTCCGTGGTTTTTAGGAAACACACACTGAAATATTTAGATAAAAGGGGCATTGTGTTTGCAATTTACTCTCAAAAGGGTCTGAAGAAGTAATGTGTATAAAAGACACCCTGCCCCAAATAGTGATAAAAGGGAATGTGGTAAAATGTTAATATTTAGGAAATCTGAGTGAAGAGCATTTTTTGTACTATTCGAATGCAACTTTTCTGTTAGTCTAAAGTTAGATAAAAAGTTTAAAAAAGAAAATGAATACCCAGCCCGCCACTCTGCCCCCACACACAAAAGGTATAACTAAAGTATTGGATAACAGAGGATAAATTGGGATGGGGTGTTTGGAGTTAGTGTTATTTAATTACTTTAAGTTAATCATGTAACCGAATATTAACAAAGTAAACTTTTGAAACCAGTCTAGAGGAAAACGGATTGAAAAAAAATCAAAATATAGCAAGAAAGAGAGAGGAAAAAGAAATGTTGAAAAGCAGGACAACCAAAAGAACAAAGTAAAATGGAAATAATTAAAAATGGACTAAATGCTGCAGCTAAAAGAGTTAGATTGTTAGACTGGTTTAAAAAAATTCAGATATAACCGTGGGATACTACACAGTCATAAAAAAGAATGAAATCATGCCCTTTGCAGCAACATAGATGCAGCTGGAAAATATTAGCCTAAGTAAACTAACACAAAAACAGAAAACCAAATACTACATGTTCTCACTTATAAGTGGGAGCTAAACATTGGATGCACATGGTCATAAATGGGAACAATAGACATGGGGGTGATACAAAAGACAGCAGTGATTGAAAAAACTACCGACTGGTGACTATGCTCACTACTCAGTTGATGGATTCATTCATACTCCAAACCTCAGCATCATACAATATACTTTATTACAAACCTGCATGCGTACCCCCTGATTCTAAAATAAAAGTCGAAAAAAGAAAACAAATTTTTCAGGTATATACTTTTAAAAGAAGCATTCCTAAAATAATAGAAGTATAGAAAGTTCGAAAAAGAAAAGTTTAAAAAAGACATACTAGCTAGAACAAAACTGGCAGAACTATGCAGGTATCAAACAAAATAGACTCTGAAGCCAGAAGCAGTGCTAGAGGGAAATAGAGTGACTTTGTAATGATAAAGATTTTATTCACTACTATGCATGGTATGTGCCTGTAATCCTAGCAGGCTGAGGCAGAAGGATCTCTTGAGTCTAGCAGTTTAAGGCTACAGTGAGATACGATTGTACCACTACACTCTAACCTGGGCAACAGAATGAAATCTTATCTCTAAAAAGAACAGATTTTATTCACCAGGAATATATAATAGTCTTAACTTCTTTTTTTTTTTTTTTTTAAGACGGGGTTTTACCATGTTGGTCAGGCTGGTCTTGAACTCCTGCCTTGGCCTCCAAAGTGCTTGGATTACAGGCGTGAGCCACCACACCCAGCAATAGCCTTAACTTCTATGTACTTAATGATATAGTCTCAAAAGATATAAAGGAAAAATCAACAGAAACCATAAGAGGAGACAAATTTGCTATCAGAGTGGGAGATTATTATTGACTTTTCTCAATTACTGATAGGTGAAGAAGTCCAAAAATAAGTAAAGCTGTGGAGAATTTAAACCAAACAGTTAACTATCTTGATGTAATATGACAATATGGTAACAATATTCAAGTAGAATATGTTTAGAGTGTTGACCCAACTTTTTTCTTTAAAATAGAGATGAAGTCTTGCTCTGTCACCCAGGCTGGAATGCAGTGGCACTGTCTCAGCTCACTGCAACCTCCACCTCCTGGGTTCAAGTGATTCTCCTGCCTCATCCTCCCAAGTAGTTGGATAGAGAAGGGTTTTCACCATGTTGGCCAGGCTAGTCTCAAACTCCTGACCTCAGGTGATTGGCCTTCCTCAGTCTCCCAAAGTGCTAGGATTACAGGCGTGAGCCACCACACCCAGCCTGACCCACTTTTAAATGATGTCAAATCATATATATATATATGGCTGCTTATTTAAGGGATTTGAGCAGGCAGTGGTGTTGATTTGTATCTAAAGTGATTACTTGGGAGGAAGGGGGATGAAAGAAGGAAGGGCTGCTTGACTGTGAAGAGTCTGGAGATGAGGGTGTCAGGATACCCAAGTTCTAATACCAACTCTGACATCAATTGCCAGCTGATTTTTGACAAGCTATGTGTTCTCTTGGATCCTATTTCCTCATTTATCCACCAGAGACGATGTTCACCCTGCCTTTTCCCCAGGAGTGTTGTCAGATTCGGCTGATACATGTGATTGAAGATGTTGAAAAATATAATTGATTAACATGGATTAAATTAAACAAGTATTTATCAACAATCTACTCATGCAAGGCTCATGGAAGATATTCTAGGGGGTACCAGGGATATGTAAGTCATGTAAGTGCTTCTGATCTAAAAAGTCACACAAATAACTATCAAGTTACCTCCTTGCAACCCTTCAGTGGCCTCCCATTGCTCTAAGGATAAAGACCAGCTAGGATATAGCCTCTGTCTGTTCCTGTGGCTTCAACTCACATTTTCTCCCTCATTCAGCTTCAATCCTTCCCACCACAGAATGCTTTTGCCAGCTGTTTCCTTGGCTTGGAAAATCTTTTTTCCCCCTTTCACCCGGTTAGCACCTTCCTTTTCTCAAGGCAACTGTCTCCTGCTTCCTAAATAGAGCATGTTCCTCTCACATGGACTCAGCATAGTCTCCTTGGTCTTTGTGTTATTTTGCATTTTAGGGAGCAATCATTTGATTAATATCCATTTCCCCAAGTGACTATAAGCTCTAGGAAGGCAGGGACCATGTTTGTGTTTGTTTTCTGGCACATAGTAGGCACTCAGTAAATAATTGTTGACTAGCTGACTGATTTTTTGATTGAGTGAATGAAAGTGCTTTAAGAGAGATACAAGCAAATACTATGCAGAGTGAAAGGAAGAGGTAATTTTTGAAGTGAGCCCCAGAAGAGACTGCAAAATGCTGCCTTGATGCCAGTTTAATGGATGAATGTGATTATTATCACCAATCAACTTTGAGTGATCTTGGTGTTTGTTATAACAAAGAAATTGCTGAATTTTATTTGTTAGCTCTTTGTTAACGTTTTCCAGGAAATTCTTATTTGATTTATCTGATCATAGGAAATAACCCATTCTTTTTGGCAGCCCAAGCATGAACCTCTCTGCATCTTCTGCGATCTCATGGGTGTGGACTATGAAGAGATGTGTCACTGGCTCTGCCATCGGAAACTGGCTACTGCCACAGAGACATACATCAAGCCCATCTCCAAGCTGCAGGCCACAAATGCTCGTGATGCTTTGGCCAAGCACATCTATGCCAAGCTCTTTAACTGGATTGTAGATCATGTCAATCAGGCTCTCCATTCTGCTGTCAAACAGCACTCTTTTATTGGTGTGCTGGACATTTACGGGTGAGTATATTTGGCTAACTGGTCTGCCAGAGAGCATTTCTTTCTAGAGTCTATCAGGTAACTCTAAGTGGGCATTTGATTCTGTTTCCTACTAGTAAAGAGAAGGGAGACTTTGCCTACGACGATTCAAGAATACCTTGTTGATAGTGATACAATTGCATGTTGCTTAAAATTTAAAACAAACAAAAAAATAGTTCAAATCTAGAGCTAATTTACTTAGCTAATGTATAGAATTAGCTGGTTTTCAGACTCTCACGTGGTAAATTATCACTGAAATTCTAAAACTTTAATTTGATTTGCTAGTTTGCTTTCTTTGGGTACCTGTCTTTAGCTGTTAAAATCCTTCCTTCATATTTATGCTTGTTTCATACTTAATTTTTCATTCTCTGGTTCTCTTTTTCAAAAGAACCTGTAGGATCTCTGTTCCTATTTCCCTCCTATGTGTGTGTAACACTGAGTCAGTAAATTGACAAAAGCAATGATCTTTATCATAATTCTGATGTTCCCCACTTGGGGATGAATGAGCCCTCAAAAACTCATAGTGTTGAACACCTCTGCATGCTGGAGCCTTTAAAAAAAAAATGTCTCTGCTGCTTGGCTGATGCTCATCTGCTAGGTACATATTCCATGCTACTGACTTATAAATCTTTATCTTCACTGATATGAAAAGAAAGTTTTACAATGTTGGGGAATGTCTCATTTCTTTCTTCCTCATGTGTATATTTTGAATATTTTAAAAAAGTTTTTTGTTTCTTTTCCCTCGTTTCCATATTATTTTTGTGATTACAGATTTGAAACATTTGAGGTAAATAGTTTTGAACAGTTTTGCATAAATTATGCAAATGAAAAACTACAGCAACAATTCAATATGGTAAGAATGTTCTTCCTTGAATAATATTCTGCTGTAAGTTGTTCTCTTGAATTCTTAGTCTTTGTTTAAAAGCTTGTCCCTGAAATGAAGTTGTGGATTATAATTATTATATGGAATTTAGAACTGATGATTAGTGAATGGTACAACATTAGAAAAATGTTTTATGGCCAGGTGGGATTCAAGTTTATCCTTTGATTGCTGTCTGATAGTAACGAAAATTTAGGACATACAGATTGAGAGAAGCAGGCAGTGTATTAGGTAATCGCTTGTGAGTATGAAGCTTTGAGCCCAGGGATATCCTTCAGTTTGTTGTTCCGAAACTAATTGTATGTGGAATTATGACACTTATTTGCTATATTAGCAAGATGTCAGAACTAAAAAGCAGAAATTTATGTGTTCTTTTTTCAACAGCCTGGGGCATTCACTGAGACAATGGCAATGGGAATATTTTGAGTGGTTCTTGTGAAGTAGTAATATCAAATATCTTAGAGGAGTATCGTGGTGTTGGGAGATTCAGAGGTGCTTAAAAATCAGGGGCAGCAGATTGTAATAGTAAAGGGCACAGACCCCAGAGGTGAACTGTGTGGGTTGGAATCCCACCCTGTGTCAGTTATCCAGGAGACCTTGGGCAAGTTAGTTGACATCCCTGGGCCTCAGCTTCCTCATCTGTAAAATGGTGATAAGAATAGTACCTATTGTGTATGGTTTTATAGGTTAAATGAGTTGGAATATGTAAAGTGTCCATCATGTGCCAGGCATAGTTCTAAGTACAAGAGTGGGAGTGATTCTTAGTGTCGATGAAAGAGGATATTCAATGAGTCACTCATATGAATTAGAAGATAAAGCTGAAGGGTAGGAAAGGCATCCTTAGTAAGTCCTTATCTTATAAAGAGAGAGGTCAAGTAGTATGGACTATAGCTGATGCACAAAAAATAGATGTTTAAAGACTTTGCAAGTTAAAAATTTAGTAAAAACCAAAAAAGGATCTAAAAATAGTAATATAGGGAGAGTAGTGGAAGAGTGGGAAGGAGGTGGTATATGTGAATTTAGCTTCGTTTGTGTTATAACCAAATCAGTAGATGTTTCATATTGATAAATCAAAAGGTAGCTGATAAGCATATTCCTTAGAAATATGTAGGTAAATATCAGAAGAAATAGCTAAGGGAATTAAAAATGGTTGCCTCCAGGGAATGTGACTGGGGTTGGGGGAAGATGAGACAAGGAGCTGCTGCTTGTCTTTATTTAGACTGTTTGAATAAATATTTCATATACTTTGATAAAAACTTGAGCCATCTTTGTTTAACAGATTAAACTCTGTACCACAGTGAAATAATGTAGAAGTGATCTTAACACCTTAGGCTTATGACTATTTCCATAATAAGATGACCACTAATATATTTTGCGTCTCTGCGTAAGAAGCATTAATAAAAACCTATCAGAAACTAAACTGAGCATTATCATTTCTCAAGGTGTTTCTGAGTTTCTTAATTACTTTAGTCAATACCACAGCCTTCTACTGTTTCCCATTGTGTTTCGGCACAGAGTGATGGGAATGTAGAAAAGCAATACCACCCTCTTTTTTTTTTTTTTTTTTTTTTTTTTTTTTTTTTTT